GTTCGATTCCTTAAATGAACAACAGAAGAACATACAGGTATTACAGAACCGTTGTGCTAGTTTGGAGAATCAAGTGTTAGTTCTTGAAAGAAGATTGAGAAAGAATAATATTATTATTTATGGATTAGAAATACCAAAAGAAAATGAAAACTTGGTCACAAAAGTCAGTACTTTTTTTAAAAACGTTCTCAACGTAGACACACAGGAAAACGACTTCAATAATGTGTTTGCACTAAGTAAGAACACTGAGCAAAACAGTAAGTCCTATCCGATCAAGGTGGAATTTGTAAGTTACCTTAAAAAAATTTCCATAATAACAAATGCTAAGAAATTGAAAAACACAAAGATATTTATTGCACAGGATCTTTGTGTGCAGGATAGGCAGGAACATAAGATTTTGCAACAGCATTTAAAGTTGGCAAGAGGAAAAAATCAAAATGCGAAAATTGTAAGAGGCAATCGTTTAGTGATAAACGGAGATATATATACAGCTAAGGACTTGCAAGAAATTGAGGAAGATGCTTCGGCTGAGCAGAAGTCCAATAGTGTACCTAATACGCCCTCCATACCTTTGGATGCCGTCAATAAATTTTTTGAAGAAAACTATCAGGAAGTAAAAGAAACAATAGTTGGACAAAAACAGGAAATACTAAGAAATACTACACAAGAAGTTAAGAAGAGGGATAGGGACAGTATTGGCCGAGAGCAAAGCTCAAAGGACTTAAAAAAACTTAAGGTAACTCCAAAAACTCCAAAAGGCAACTCAAAATCAATCAATTAATATTAGGTACTTATAGGTTCGAAACTATTGTGCGGTTTGTCTGTGTCCGTCCCTATTTATTTATATCTTATCTTGTTGAAACCAACTAAATGTTTTTATACCTTTTAAACTTAACATTGTCATTTTTTTTTTCTCTATATCAATAGATTTTGCATTCCATTGGGTTTTATTAATAAAGTGGAATAAATTTTAATAGAATCATGAATGAATATATGGAAAATATAGATCGGGAACTCATAAAGTCCAGGGAGGTTTGCAACAAAGAAGAATTTTTTCAATCCATAACTGAGAAGGGTTACAAACATACGTTTTCAATTTTTCACATGAATGTTTGTAGCATTAATAAAAATTTCAATGAAGCTTTATTGCTTTTGAGTGATTTCAACTTTTATTTTGACATAATTATCTTTGGTGAAACCTGGGAAATTTTGGACAAGGATATCTTCAATATAGTGGGTTATGAATCATTTTACAATGAGGGTAGATTTAATCAGAATGATGGCCTAATCATTTACATAAAAGAAAAATATAAGGATAATTTTAGATTTGAAACGGTGTTATTAGAAAATGTTACAATGATTAAACTGCATCTCTTAATTAATAGGCAAAAAATACAAATAAATACATTATACAGGCCTTATGCCATAAAACCTCAAGATTTGGTTCAAAGCTTACAAAACTACATAACTAGTTCCCCTTGGCAAAATTACAAAACAGCATTTTTTGTTGGAGACACAAATATTAATATTAAATCAGAAAACGTAGATTATGTTAATGAATACCTAAATTTGCTTAGTGAACATGGATTTAAATCATTAATAAATGGATACACTAGAGAAAGAAATGGGTCAAAGTCCTGCATAGACCATATTTTTATGAGAGGTGAATTAAATCAGGAGTTGATGTCATTTATAATAAAAAGGAATATTACTGATCATTACCCAGTAGTAGCTGTCTTAAAAATCGATGAATCTCTGTTAGATAATAATAAAAATGTCGAATATAAAAAAATAAATACAAAAAAACTTGTACATATTATACAAAATGAAACTTGGACGGATTATTACGAAACTGAGAATCTGGACATTAAAATGGATCTATTTATGAATAAGTTGAAAGCAGCAGTAGATTCGGCTACAGACACAATTAAATACAGAAAAAATTTAAAAAAACGGCATCCGTGGATAACTCCAAGTTTAATGACTTCATCAAAAAGAAAAAATGAATTATATAAAATATCACAGTTGGACCACCAAAATATTCAAAAACAAATAGCTTACAAACAGTATAAAAAAATATTTGAAAGATTACTAGACAAAACTAAAAAAGACTATTTTCAAAGAGAAATAAATAAAGAAGGCAATAACAGCAAAAATCTTTGGCACAGTGTTAACAAATATTTGGGAAAAGAACAACAAAACACAGAAATAAAACAAATCAAATCAAACGAGCGCACAATTACGAACAAAAAAGAAATAGCAAACAAGTTCAATAAATACTTCACAAGTTTGGGAAAAAATCTAGCGAAAAAAATTAAAAGAACAGGAAAAACTAAATTTAATGGAAAAATACAAGAAAACACATTTTTTTTGGAACCAACAAATGAACTTGAAGTTGAAGGAATAATAAATCATTTGAAAAAGAAAAAATCTCCAGGATATGATACAATTACTACAGAAACTCTTCAAATTTTAGCTCCATACATAAAAACACCACTTACACATATAATAAATAAAATATTTGAACAGGGATACTATCCAAGTAGGCTGAAAATTGGAATTATCAAACCTCTCTATAAATCTGGGGGAAAGTTACAGATAGAAAACTATAGACCAATAACCCTAATTTCTATGCTTTCAAAAATTGTGGAAAAAATAATGAAAAAAAGGGTTGTTTCTTATCTTACTAAATATAAATTAATATCAGACAAACAGTTTGGGTTTCAGCAGGGGTTATCCACAGAAGATGCCATAGCATACGTAACGGATAATGTTTACAGAAAACTTGATAATGATGAATATGTTATGGTATTTTTTTTAGACCTTGCAAAGGCATTCGACACTGTGGATCACCCCATGCTGATAACTGTCTTAAAAAATCTAGGATTTCGTGGAATTACAGAAAAACTGATAATATCATATCTAAGTGAAAGAAGGCAATATGTCCAGATCGGTAAAACATTTAGTGAACCAACAACTGTGGAGTACGGTGTTCCTCAAGGAAGCGTACTAGGCCCAATCCTATTTACAATGTATATAAATGGCTTGTTAAACATAAATACATTTGGGCTGATCGCATCGTTTGCTGATGATACAGTTATTATATACAGTGGAAAAACATGGAAAGAAACGAAACTACAAGCAGAAAAGGATTTAGCAAAGATAAAGGATTGGTTTGATGAGATGTCTCTGACAATTAACTTTAAGAAAACAAAATACATACCTTTCAGTTGTAGTAAGGCAAAAGCTCCAAATTTCACAGAAATTAACGTAACACAAGCAAATAACTCAAAAGTAACTATAAAAGGGACAGATAATATAAAATATTTGGGAATAGTACTGGATAGATATTTGAAATGGGACGTACATATCAACAACCTAATAAATAAACTACGTGTTATACTTTTTAAATTTAAAAAACTAAAAAAAATTCTTTGCTTTTCACAACTTAGGATTATGTATTGTGCACTCGTTCAATCCTTAATTCAGTATGGGATAGTTGGGTGGGGTGGAGCCTATAAAATACATATTGAAAAGTTAGAAAAAATTCAAAAGGTTTTCCTAAGGATAATGATCAATAAAAATCGCCTTTATTCAAGTAACAAAACATATGAAGAGAGTAAGCTAATGGACATTAATAAATTATATACCTTCAAATTGTTAATATATCAATTCAGATATAGGCACAAACTAAATATGATTGATCACCCACATAATACCCGACAAAAGTTGAAACTGAGGGTTGCAACTATTAAAACCAAAAAGACAATTGCTCAAAGAACAATTTCCTTTCTCGGGCCTTACATCTATAGATTTTTGCCAGATTTTCTTAAGGATGTCACTATATTGAAATTGTTTAGAAGTATTTTGAAGAAATGGATTCTTGAAACTCCCCGTACGTTTTTTAATGAACTAATAAATGGAAAACTCAAATAACATTACTTGCATATCGAGTTGCATATTCAATCTTTAGGTTCAAAGAATTCTTCTTTAAAATAGGCAAATTCTCTTTATGAATCTTGTTTTTTTGAAGTGCAGAGTGACAATGGATTTATACAACATAGGGCTACTGAGGTATTTTTTTGTTTTGTTATTATTTATATACTTATAATTATTGTTGTAAATTTATGGAAATGGGTATGCTCCCTGGTATGCTAAGGGTCAAATTTAGATTGTTTTGTGTTTTCAAGTACTTCCTATGACTACTTATTATTTTGTTTCAACATGTAAACGCGGTCTGCATAACTGAATGGAATAACAAGAAAAGTCTGCACACAAGTCCATCAGGACTTCAGCAGAAATGTTCTTATTTATTTATTTTCCTTCTGGTTACCTTGAAAGTAGTTTACTATGCGCTCGTCGAATCCATAATTAATTATGGCATTGTTGTTTGGGGTAGTGCAGGTGTGACTACATTGAACAAGCTCCAAGTAGCACAGAAATACATAATAAAAATTATGTTATTTAAAAATAAAAGATATCCAACTGAGTTGGTTTTCAAAGATAGTGAACTGTTAGATATCCAACAATTGCACCTTAAGGCAATAGTTAGATTTATGTTAAAAGTGCCTTATTATAAGGAACCTATTAGCCACGGAGTAAATACGAGAAACACTGCTAAGAACAATGTGACAAGACACAACCCCAAACATACAATCTGTCAATATCACATTTCTAGCTTAGGACCAAAAGTTTTTAATAGCCTCCCGAATAATATTAGAAACAAGCCATATCATAGATGTAAAAGAGAAATAAAACAGTGGATTCGTCAGAGTAATTACAAGATACATTACCTAATTTAAAAATAGTAAAAGATAATAACATTATTATTGTTTATATTTATATACATAAGTGAGTCAAATTAGGAACCTCAAGGGATAGACTGATATAGGAAAAAAGGGGCACACACAGTATTTCAAATACCATCGTGCACCCACATTAGGCAATAGTGTTAAGTATAGGTAAACTATATTGGGTATTTTTGTTATTATTTAAGGATACTATTGTTGATCAATAAATAAATAAAATAATAAATACCTATAACACACAATTAAATTCGTGTACCTTCCTATGGCTAAAATTTGTTTTAGGGCTGACGCGTGCCTCACGGCATTATAATTGACATGCAATAAGACAACCACAAAATCAGAAAATGTATAATCATGAGTCATGCCAAAAATACCTCGTGACACCTCACTCACTGGCGCAAATGGTTCAATATAACCAGATACCCTGAAATGATCCCCCACTAAGAGACGAAGCTTTGCGGTGATGTTTGTGCCACTTTCATCTCCCAGAACCAAGATCCGCTGAGGTTTATTAGCTTGCGATTTTTGACCTGGGTTTTGGACCAATGCCTCATCAGTAGCGTCAATCTCCCCAGAATGGGCTTGAGTGAGCTCAGCCTGCAAACTTTCTCCCGCGCCCTGGCTCATCTGATCAAGGAGCATCTGAATTTCTTTTTGGAGCAAACATAATTCCCCTTTAAAATATTCATTATCAGCTGTCAGAGTCTCGATAGAGATCAACAAACTCGACCTCAACTCCTCTAGTTCAAATATTTTATGCTGGAGTTCCTGGTTTTTGTCTTTGGCTGAGGCAAGAGTAGAGAAGGAGTCCTCTTGATCATCTGTTTGACAAGACCGATTTAGGCATAAAAAATGTGTTTGTGTTGTGACTGAGACTATATTCTTAACTGCATTTGATTTCTCAAGTTCAATATTTTTCCTTCTAAGTTCTCTGTTGCAGGTTTCCAGCTCGCCAATCTCCCTCAAATACCGCTCTTCGACTAGCTGCGCCTCTTCCGTGAATTCTTGGGTCAGCCTTCGTTGTTTTTTGATGTACTTCTTTTGTTCATCTGAGCTCTCAAAAACTTTACTGAGTTTTGATTCCAGCTGTTGAATAGTTTCATCCTTGTCCAGCTCAAGCTGATTCAAACACATCTCCAAATCCAAAATCTTAGCTCGAAGGGAGCCTGTGGTCTGTTCTTCATTATTTTTTGTATCCTTGCATTTATTGGAACAAAAAATTTGATGACCTCTAAACTCCGAAAATCCCCTAATTCGCTCCCCACAGCTAGGGTGAAAAACATTTAAGCAAGATACACACACTAAGCTATTTAAAGGCTTTTTGCAGCATTTAAAAAGGCGTTTGTCATCCATTTCCAAAAAGATTGCTGATGTAAATGCCGCCAAAATGTTTTGATGTAAATCGAGTCACAATTATTAATATTATCATCCGGACACCCGGAAGCTTCTTAATATATTTTTTTAATTTTTTTTTATTGATGACAATAAATTGAAACTTTTTTTTGGGGCTTAAGGAATTTAAATGCAAATTTACGCATAAATAATGGCTATTGTTCGAAAGATTTTTACAAACTATTCCTATGTAGATGTACTCACACAATCATAAATTAGATTTTTCAACGGGCACAAAAATAACCTTTGTTTTGAACCAAATTTCAACTTTTAATTCTGCGATAAAACCACTAAAACTTCACAAAAACTGCTGCTGATTTACTGTCATTTGCCGTTCCGATATGCGTTCACGACGATATGTGGACAAAACGCGAATATGTGGATCAAAATTTAAAAAAATATAGTTTTTCCAGATACTTTTTGTTAAACTTTTTCGCTAGGCGGTACCTGGTACCCGCCTATTTTTTTTTTTCCATAAAATATTTGATATTTATATAGTTATAATTATGACTAGCATCAATAGCATTAAACAATTGCATATTCTTGAAAGTAAATAAAATTGTCTCATAGATATATAGAGCGTAAATTGTCATTATCCCTTTTTCCCTAAATATTCCCCTGCACGATTTTAGGGGGGACATTTTATACATTGTTCGTATTGTTCGCTTTTGAATAACAAATATATTTTGTGCCCTAGAGTTAGATGCCCAAAAAATTATACCGTATCTAGCAGTACCTTCAAAATTTGCAAAATACAGTGTTCTACGCGATGTCTCATTCATATACCTTGAAACAGTGCGAATGCAAAAACAAATGCTATTCAATTTATTTTCTAGGCGCCCAATATGGAAAGACCAGTCTTAATGTTCATCCACATGTACGCCCAAAAATTTGGTATCGTTTTTCAATGTAAGTTGATTTCCGTTGACTGAAATATATTTAGGTTTCTCTGTTCTGTTTAACTTGATTCTGAATAGAATAGCATTTGTCTTCCCTGTGTTTAGGCATAATTTATTTTTCTTGAACCAATTTTCAGTTTCTGGGAATAAAAGAGAAGTTTTTTCAACAATTTTCTGCAAATTTGAGCCACTGACCAGAACATTTGTGTCATCCGCATATTCTGTTAATTCATAATCAATATCTGAGCATTCTGTGTTGATGTCATTCATAAAAATTATAAATAAAATCGGTCCCAGTATGCTGCCTTGGGGAACCCCTACTGTATTTTGCATAATCTCTGATTTATATGAAATTCCGTTTTTATGAAGTATTACTCTTTGTGTTCTTTTATTTAAATATGAAGCAAGGCATTCAAGTGCACATCCCCTTATACCATATATTTCCACTTTTTTTTAGCAAAAGATCTCGATCTAAGATATCAAAAATTTTTGACAGATCCAAGAAAATACCCAGGGCCAAATTTCCCTCCTCCAAGTCTCTCAAAATTGCCCGAGTAAATTGAAATATTGCAGTTTGTGTTGACTTTCCTTCAATATATCCATGTTGGTTTTCTGATAGAATATCACAGTCTTTTAAAAAATTTACAATTCTTTTACACATCACAAGTTTATACAACTTTGAGAAACCCGGAAGCAGGCTGATCGGCCTGTAGTTATCCATCAGATTGCTGTCTCCTTTATTTTTATAACACGGTTTTATTGCTGATAATTTCAAAGTTTCGGGAAAAGTACCCTCTCTAAGTGAGTTATTAATCATATAACACATTATATCTATGATGGCGGGAACCACCTGTCGAATTACACTTGTGGGTATTTCATCATCTCCACTGCTTTGTTTGTTTTTAATTTTTTTTGATATGTCTAGGATTTCTTGACTATCCACTGGATTAAGAAAAATTGATCTACTATTTCTGGTAATGCTCTGTGTGCATTCAACAACATATGGTATGTCCTTTAATATATTCGGTATTGTTTCTAATAAAAACTCATTATAATTGTTGGAAATCTCACTAGGATCTCCCTCCATCATAGTATTACCCACATCTACGTTGCTTGTTATCTCTCTATATATTGACCACAAGCATTTATTTTTATTATCTGCATTGCTGATATGATTAGCATAGTTTTGGGTTCTGATGTTTGCAAGGAGATTATCATATTCTTTTTTGACGTTTGAATATATTTCATTATATGCACTGTTTTGACGTTTTAACATTAAACAAATATCTAGCCTATTTTTTACCCTACTTACGTTTTCGTTATTTACATATATTCTATTTGGTTTGTGTGCAGGGTTAACTAACTTTTTAGGAAAACACTGAAGAGTGGCATGAAAATATTCATAAATGTTGACCACTGCTTATTTACATCTGATCGATTGATCTGATAAACATTTAACCATTGTTGTTCCTCAAGTATAGCTACAAAGTTATTTCTACTATTTTCATCAAAAAATCTTTTAAAATAGCTTGTTTTTGTTTCAGTAAGATTAGATTTCAGTATAATTTTTTGGGCAGTATGATCGGAAATAACAGTATCTACAAACAAACTTTCTAAATGTTGTTTGTTAATATTAGTAAAAATATTATCTATACAGTGTTTAGTTGTAGCGGTAATCCTAGTAGGCACATGAATAGTTTGAGACATATTAAACGATTTCATGACAGATAGGAATTCCGATTTATCTTTGCCATGTTCCAACAATTCAATGTTAAAGTCACCCGCTATTATAATATATTTATTTTCATTGATAATTTGATCAAGAACTGACTCTAATCTGTTTATAAAACTATTCATGTCCTTTTTTGGTTGTGTATAAAGTGATATTATTACAAGACACATACCTTCAATTTTGCACTCTACACTAGCACACTTAAAAATATCCTCTACTGACATATCCCTTATTTTTGTCCTCTGCATAAATTGTATGTCTTTGTGTACGTAGATTGCTGCTCCTCCATACCCGCCTTCTCTACCGAAGCTTGATCCAAGTTTAAAGTTTTTCAATCCTAGTGCGCCTATCTGATTTTTCTTTTGCCAGTGTTCTGTAATGCATAATATTTTGCAGTCTTTATGTAGTTCTGTCAAGTTATCAATTATATTGGTGGAGTTTTTTAGAGATTGCACATTTTGGGTATTATACTAAATTTTGATGCTTCAATATGTGTATTTTCTTTGTTGCCGGTTTTCTTTATAAAAAATGTCTTTCCTGAGTTTCTGCTGTACTAAAGTTAGTATATTCTCTCTGTCTATCAATTTTTCCCAAATAAGCTGGGCATTTTAGATCTTTGGCAGTATGTATCCTTTCCTGCAGCCCAATCCGTTTACAATTGGGACAATCCAATTTTTCTGATGTGCATTCACTGGCGTCATGATTTCTTCCACATTTAAAGCAGCATAAATCGCCTTTACAGTATTTTGATACATGGCCAAAATAACAACATTTATAGCACATAGCAAGGTTAATATATTCCTGTACATATGCTCTGGTTAAATCAAAAGATTTTCTTTTCTGATTAGCCATTTAAAGATGTCTGGGAGTGTTTGTAGGATCCAGTTTTCCTTAGTACTATTTCTGCACTTCCTTTTTGCTACAAACGTTATTTTCTCTTTTACATTTTCCCCAAACGTTGTTTTGATGTCTGGGTTGTCATTAATGAATTCTGTGATAAAGTTTTCATGTTCATAACCAGAATCTATCCCAGTTATAATAATTATCATTGGGTTATTATTACCAGAATCTTTGATTTCCAGGGTGTCTTGTTGTTTTAATGCTGTATGTATTCTCTGTCTCTGTTCCACATCATTACATTGCACGATTACGGAGCCATTTTTCAGATTCCTGATGCTTTTAAATGTTTCACAGGTGCCGGTGCCCTTTAAGTTCTTTTGGATTTCTTTCAGAACACTTTCAGTTTTTTCAGGATTCTTTGGTTTGATTACCATTTCATTTGTTCTTTGTTTCACTTCGATTTTCCTTTGTTCTTGTTCTTATGATTGAGCGGTCGAAGGATTGAGCTGTAAGTTTTTGGAAAGTCTTGTACGGGTTTTTGTATGTTTTGACATTCAGAGTTTCCCATTTTCATTCCTTTTTGTTTTTCTGCCATCATGTTTTCCATTTCAAGTTGTCTCATTTTGTATACCAAAGCAGTGACTGTTTTGTGCAGATTAAAACTTGCCTTTCTTAGTTCTGGTCGATCATTTTTTTCAAAATCTTCCTTGTTGATAATTGTGTTAATTTTTCCTAACTCTTCTAGCAATACATTTATAAGCATGCTAGTTTTTTCATTTCCATCAAACTCGATGTTTGTCTCAGATATTTCGTGATGATTATTTTCCATACTATTTTTAAATCCCCCTGGTATGTTCTCGTTTTTGTTGGCCGAGCATGGGTCCGGTTTTTTCACTTGCTTGTTTATATCTCGACCATTGTGCTTCTTATCTGTTTTTGTTCCGGCAAGGCCGTAATCCTACTTATTTCTTCAAGGCTGTATTCACTGAATTCAACAGAATTACTCCTAGTTTCCCTTCCTGGGAATTGTGTGGTTTTTTTCTTAGCGCCTGTTTTATTGCCGTCACTTTCATCATTCATATTGTCTTTGAACAAAAATTTTCGGGTTGATATCACGTACGTAAATCACAAAAAACGCGGAGCTCGACTTAAACACGTCCGATCACCTTTAATACTTGCTAGATTTCTTGTAGAGGATAATCTACTCGTAGTGGAGTGGACATAGGTTCTGGTTTACCTTGAGGTTTGTGGGAATTTTTCGGCGAAAATTCATTTGTTGGTTTACCAAATACTTCCTTGTTAGTGAAGTATTTAGGTTGAACCGAATGTGGTTCCATTTTTATTGGTTGACTAGGAAATGTTGCGTTTTGAAATAGTTATTTACCTAACAAGTTCGGAAAGTAATACTTTTCCGCACGCAACGGCGTTTGCACGAACGACGCGCCAGCGGAGTTCGTGCAAGCTGTAAGTGCGGAAATGATACTTTACGCTCGTGTTAGGTAGGTACAACATTTTTCCTACGAGCGTGCGGAAATTGACAAATTGTTTTTTTGTTCGTTTTAGCTCTACTTATAAGAGAAATGGTCAAAAATGTGATTTTTTAATTAAGTTTAGTGTCGCAATGATTTTAACAACAGAAAATTAACAATTATTTTTATTATAAGTAGAATTAATTATTTATGGTATAGGTACAACACGTTGAAAGAGGTCGATATTGGACAGTACAAAAACCTAATAGCTTTCTTGAAAAAAAAAACGGTGGAAGAATTTCAAAAAGATCTAAAATTTTTGACAAGCATGACATGAAGAGAAAAATTGAAAAAAAAAAAAAATCAGTGCGTGAAAAACTTTTTTCGCGCACGCCGTGCGGTAAAAAATAACGCGTTTTCCGCACGCTCGTAGGAAAAGAGCTTTTCTTCCGAAACCATAAAACCGCATGCCAAATAGAGTATTTTCGAAAATTTTACATCATTTTGACAATACAACTAAAATTGCTCTTGCCCATTTTTTGGTTGACATTGGTATTTAGCACTGAGAGTTATCCGTTATGCATTAAGAGCTGGTTAAACTTGGCTTGAGCTTATTGGAAAAATAAATAAAAAAATCTGTGGTACCTGGAGCCAACAATAGTCACTGACAATATTATCACTTTCCAGTGTTGTCACCCTGATCCCCGAAGAACCAGAAGACATGTGGCACGCCTATAATCTCATAACCGAAGGTGATGCTGTGAAAAGCTCTACAATTCGTAAAGTGCAGTCAGAATCGTCTACTGGCTCTTCAACTTCCAACAGAGTCAGAACTATTCTGACAATCACAGTAGAGAGTATCGATTTTGATACGCAGGCTTGCATGCTAAGACTGAAGGGCAGAAATATTGAAGAAAACCAGTATGTTAAGGTAAATCCAGACACTTAGCTTAAAAAAATTTAAAACGTGCGTTTGTAATTAGATGGGCGCATATCACACACTAGACCTAGAATTGAACCGTAAATTCACACTTCGTAAACCAGAATGGGACTCTGTGACATTAGAAAGAATTGAAATGGCTTGTGACCCCACAAAGTCAGCTGACGTGGCTTCAGTAATAATGCAAGAAGGTCTTGCTTATGTGTGTCTTATTACTTCCAGTATGACTCTAGTTAGGGCCAAAATTGATGTGAATATACCTAGGAAGAGGAAAGGGTTTGCACAGCAACATGAAAAGGTAAAATTTTCTCACTATCATATTGTTAACTAATTGATTTTTTGTAGGGGTTGACAAAATTCTATGAACAGGTAATGCAAGCCATCCTCAGACACATTGATTTTGATGTAGTTAAATGTATTCTCATTGCTTCGCCTGGATTTGTTAGAGATCAATTTTTCGAATATATGTTCCAAATGGCAGTAAAACTTGATAATAAATTATTGTTGGAAAATAAATCTAAATTTATGTTGGTCCATGCTTCTTCAGGCTTTAAACATTCCCTCAAAGGTAAGAATCTAATGTGATAATGATATTTTTTTTTTTTTTTGATTCTAATTTTTTTTGTAGAGGTTCTCCAAGACCCAGCAGTAATAGTTAAAATGTCAGATACCAAAGCGGCAGGGGAAGTCAAGGCCTTAGAACAATTTTATACCACTTTACAGTGTGAACCTGCCAAAGCTTTTTATGGGAAAAAACACATTGAAATAGCTAATGAGGCTCAAGCTATCGAGATGCTGTTGATTTCTGATAAACTGTTCAGGTAAGAATTGATTAATAATAAATTCCAGAATATTTACTCTCAATATTTTTTTCTCCATTTGAATTAGATGTGAAGATGTAAAACTAAGAAAGGAATATGTGCACATTGTGGATACTGTTAGGGAATCGGGTGGAGACGTTAGGATATTTTCAAGTATGCATGTATCTGGAGAACGTAAGTGATTTTTTAGCCTGTATGAATAAATATTTATTTTTAAAACATAATAGAATTGGAACAATTAACGGGGATAGCAGCAATTTTACGATTTCCTATGCCCGAATTAGAAGAGGATAGCGACGATGAAGAAAATAGTTAGGAATAAAAATTCGATCATTGATATTGTTTTTTGGAAACGTGCCAAAATTATTTCTGTATTTCCCCAAAAACAAAATACTTAAGTAACAAAAAAAAAAGTGGTTATGCTGAATAGGTAATTTGTTGTATACATTTTTGATAAATACTCTAGTTAGTATATTAAATCAATTAATTTGCCTTGCCTGCTCATAGTAGATAATTTTTGTTGTAAAAAATATGTAGTTATATTTTTTTAAATTATTTATTATAAACTTTGTTTTACTTTTATTTTATCAATAAATTGTAATTAACTGTAGATTTTGTGTTATTGTGTATATTTCGTCTTTATTCTAAGTAAATTTCATACAATTTGGCAAAGGTGCAAAATTCCTGTTTGCTTGCATTTTTTGTTTTTCGCGCAAAAAAGTCGTACCTCTAGATTTTGATACTGGACGTACTAGAAGCGAGTAGTTTGAAACAGACTTGCTAAGAAACCCGATAAGACGACACGGGCGCGTCATTGTACGTCTTAACCCGGTCGTAATATTTCTAATCTAAAAACTTCATTGTCTCCCTCTCGTATCAACCTTCTACTAAAGTGACCATCCGTCCCGATTTCGAACTACGAGTCCCGATTCAATAGGCGTCCCGCTTTTGTCCCGCTATTTTATATCATGTGAAGCAATTAAATTTGCATTATATTCGTAAGAACAATAAGGCCATCATGGTACCAAATTTCAGCGCTATACAACAATTTGAATTTTTTTGTTTATTTTTTGAAAAATCCCGCGCGACGTTTTCAGGCCAAGAAGTCATCAAGTAATTAACGAAAAAAAAATCCGCTGGGGCATTATTAGAGGAATAAATCGGCTGCCGATTGTCGAAAACTGTCACCAAATATTTGGCCCCGTTTAGAAATTACAGTGAATGCAAGAAAGGGGTAGTTTTCGATGCAATTTACAACTTCCTCGCACATTAGACAAGTTCGTGCTCGCTTAATTTTCAAGCAAAAAATTCGAACAAAAAATCATTGGAGAGTGCATTTCATTAGCAATAATGTGGTGTTTGAAAAATTGAAATCGGATTATGCATTCGGCCGCTGCTGCAACAAATGCGCGCCAAATGGCAAAACGTTGATTCAGTGACCTTGAACAAAAACATACTACTATTCAAGACGCTGCAGAAAAAAAACTATAGAAGATAGAGGGGTGCTGTCGCTGAGTTTTTTATAGCAAAAAACTTCAGCTACAACATTCATTTGAAACTTTTTGCTATTGGACCATCCCTTTGAGCAGCTCCAGCTCCATAAACCGCAAATTACCGCTAAAAACCACCCCTAACTAAAAACCCTATGGAAGTACAAGGTCGCAAACTTAATATGTTGTTTAGCATATTAAAATGGACCGATCCCCCCAAAAAAATTTCAACTTCTAATTATGTTGAGGTAAACCCTCTTTTCAGATCCCCGTTTCTTGGACTATAAGGGCTATGGTTGAATCAAACTTTGTCTTGGGAATACCACACGGAATATATTAGAAAAAAAAATTGGGCTCCTATTGGAGTATTGAGAAGAATAAGTTGTATCGTACCAAAAAGGTTTTTAAGACCATTAGTATTTCTCACTTATTCACTGCCACCTCCAATACCAAACCTGTATTGCTTGCCTAGGAGATTCTCAACTAACCTTTTGTATAAAAAATTCAACATCAAAAATTTGGAAATCATTTATAAAATTCAGGTGTGTAATTTTATTCATGCATCAGTGATAAAGAAGGACAAACACTCATCAATAACATTTAAGTATTACCAGAAATAATATTCATAGTTACGACACAAGAACAAACAATCACTTGGAAAAAATAAAGATACGCAATAATATGGGCAAGAACTCAATTTATTGTAAAGGTATCACAATTTATAATGATATACCAGCCAGTTTGAAAGATCTTACTGTACGTCACTTTAGAGCAAAAATAATGATCACTTTCTCTCATAATAAATCTGCTTGTTTTTTTTTTCTAATTGCTTCTTGTGATCTTTCATTCTCCTGTTCTCTCTGTGTCACTCTGTGACTTTTTATATATTTCCTATTTTAGCATAGTAACACTGTAGGTACCTCTATAGTGTGGAAGTATAGATTGTATAGTATAGGAAGAACCTATGTAGATTTTTTTTTTTTTTCATGTTTTAATGGTTTAAATAAAGTAACTTTATTCTTATTCTTATTCTTAACATCTAAAGTTTCAAATTATTTTTGTGACGTCACTGGTAACTTTTTTTTAAATATTTCACATTAAAAAATGTCTTTTGCTGCTTGAAAGTAGTGGACAACATTTCACTGAGATATCTAGAGTGGTTTGAAAATTGTGTTTAAAAAATAGTTTTTTTCTTAGAATTTCAACACCCTGTATCTCGGAAAGGAAGCGTTTCCGGACATATGTTTATACAGAAAATTAGGGCTTATTTTCGACGTAGAATATGCCATAAAAATTTGGTGCATTAATTTCGGAACACCCTGTATTGTCCCGCTTTTGGAATTTCAAGATCTGGTCACTTTACCTTCTACAGCATAATCCGCAGCGCGTGTGTAAAGCAGGGCCCTGCAGGAGTGCACTGAGTAAGTCCTTTTTTTTTCATTATTTAGAGGTTTCGCCGCAAAGTAAATACAGTCCACTACCGCGCTATACATTACGTATTAGCCAACGCAAAACAATGTAAAATAAAAGAACCACCATCTTCCTCATTTTAAAACAATATTTATTGTTTATACAACATTAAAAAAGTACAAATGAACATGGGCGTCGTTTGGGGGGGGGCATTTGCCCCCCTCTAGAAATAGTCTTTTGAACAAGAAAGCAGTAAAAGAGAGTTCGTATTCGTATTGCTTTTCTCCATTTTTTCAAAGTTTGTTAGGTATGTACTTTGAAAAATTGGCTGACATTTTCATTACATTCAACCTTTGAATATAAAACTACAGGAAGGAGCGTTTCCTATCTGCCACTACAGACAACGCAGGGACGGAAACGGCCATTTTGAGCCTCCAAATATGGACTCATCATTTGTTTTGGTGGTTCGCTGTGTCCTCATTCAAGTGGAGGTTTAATGGATTTTAGCGGTTTTAAGTGATAATAAGCACTAGTATTACTAGTGCGAAAAGAGTGAGTCATAATATTGACAATCATATTTAAATAAATATACGCGACTGCCAAACCGGAAACACTAGTCGGCCATATGCAACCTCCACATTTTCTGGTCACGCAGATTCGAGGTTATGCTCCTTCCTGTAGTTTTATATTCAAAGCATTCAACGGAATGGCAGCAAATATCCAGTTAAGTTCCCCAAAATCTTGTAGAGGGCGCGAGTGAACTTGGATTGCTTTAAATTTTGGCGGTAAATGTCAATAGTTTTAAACCGTTTAAATTGAGTAGAAGGGAAGATGACTACATATGAACAATGGGCTGTGAATAAGTTAAAATATCTTGTAAAACGTTCAGTGGCCCTTAGAGAATATTTTTAAAAGTGTCGGCGTCAGCTTGTCTTGAAACCACACGTCAAACTTAACTTTTGAGGTTAAAATTACAATCAATTATTCACGCGCCAAAATTTGAAGTGTTCCAAGTACAGAAGCGCCCTCTTCAACTCAGCTGTCAATATTACATGCCATTGAATTTCACTTGACTTAGGGCCGGTATTATAAAACACTGAACCGATGGTAGTGTTCCAAGTTCCTACCTTCGGTTGGATCCTATCAATTTGCATGGAGTCAACCGAAGGTTGAAACTCAATCATCGATTCAGTACTTTATAATACTGGCCATTGGAAAATTACCTAAACAAATGATGCGGACAGTGAAATTGTTGCGGAAGAAAATATCATCATTTTTAACAAATATCGATTCAAATAAGTACATTTAAATGCTCAAAAAGGGGCGTGGCACCAAAAAAAAAATTAGCCTACGGCGGTTGCCTGCGGCGCTAATGAAAATGGTCTTATTATAATGCTGCCCTCCCCCCTGAGAAACCTCGTAACGACGCCCAGGCAAATGAATCTATTACATATCAGTAATCAAACAAAAAAAAAATATTTTTAAAAATTAACTTGTATAATTTAAATAAAAATATGTGAATGATTTAGGTACATACAATAAAAATTACTCCAGTTTGAACAAAAATAATTTGAAATTGTATAATTATTTTTTACAAAAACCGATTATTTTATCACACATTTATAAGGCTCTTTAAATATTTTTTTTTTTTGTGTTTTTCTTTGTAAATTAAACCATAATAATTATTATTAATTGACTAATCATACAAGTGTTAAAAACTGATGAGTATACATGAATCTGCAAAACTCTGGCATTAATTGTCTTGAAGATGTAGAGTTTTAATTTTTTTAATGTTTTCGGCTGTTTTTCGGCTGTTTTCATGTTTTCAAAAAACTGATATTTTGGGTCTTGCGGAAGCTTGACCCATATGAGATTACCTTTCATTCGATTTCCATGCGCTGCTACTCTGATTTGAGGCGAATCGTTCTCGTTCCTTCGCGCGTCCCTGGAATCAGCTGACTCTATCGCCGGCTAGCACCGCCTGCGGCGACTCACACCAGTACCTTAGTTGAAGCCGGCAAGATCTTCAACTGATGGGTCAAGCTTCCACAAGACCCAAAATATCAGTTTTTTACCCTTTGGAGGAAAAACTGTCATATTTGGGGTCTGTGCTTTCGCTTGAATCATATGAGACCTGTTTGTATTCTGCCGGCGTTAGAAATAGAGGCCAATGGTAGGAAAGCGTACTGTGATGGATACCATGAAATAATAAGCATAAAGAGCAATGGAATTATTTTATTTTAAACTGATATGTCAAAACATTGGTCACAAGTTGCAAAGAAAAACAAATTTAAACTTTTTTCGAAAGAAGATACAATTTGGCAAACAACTGAGAACGAAAAATAGGTAGGTACTATTCTTTATGTGTGAGAAAAAAGTCGCGTCCACAAACTGCGCCTTGCTGTCCGTCGCATACTTAGGAACCACTGTCGATGCTCTGGTTGCAAAAAGATCGATTTGTGGAACGCCCCATATCCTGAAAATCTCGTTTGTTATTATCTGGGAGAGGTGCCTGTCGGGAAGCATCTTCTGTCGAGAGAGATTGTCTGCTATTCCGTTAAAATGCCTGGAATGTATCTGGCTGACATGTGGATTTTGTTGCTTTCGGTTGTATGATAGAGTTTTTCCATGTCTTTCAGAAGAGTCGTTGATTTTGTGCCCCCTTGGTTGTTTATATATGTTACAACCGTTTTTTGTTGTCCGACTGGATTAAAATATTTCTCCCCTTCAGAAAGTCGGTATTCTTCTCTATCGCTTCTCTCACCGCAAATAACTCTTTCCTTTTTATGTGCCAACATTTTTGATAGTCTGACCAAAGCCCTGAAATAAGCTGGTCGTCTAGATGAACTCCCCAACCCAAATTGGATTCGTCCGTTGTAAGAAATATTTGATTTTCTTTGGGGAAGATATCCGACTTTAAATGAGTAACCTCTATCCACCATTTCATCTCTTTTAGAACCTTCATGGGGATCGGAAACAGTTTTCTTGGTAATTCCTCTGGTAACCTGCGAAAGCTCTTCTGTATCCATCTGCAGTGCAGGAACAACGAACGCTGCGAAGTTTAGGCTGCCTTATAATGAAGCCGCCATCGACCAATTCCACTGACGAAACCTGATAAGACTGTTTAGATTTTTTAATATTCTCTCTTTCTTGATTTCTGGAAGACATTTTTTGTTTTGACCTGGATCCCATAGAATACCCAAAAACTCTACCCGCAATAGCGGGGCTATACGTGATATTTCTAAATTTACTTGCCAGCCTAAAAATTTTAAAATCTGAAGAGCTTGATTTGTTTGTGCCTGAAGTTGGCTTTTGTCTTGATTCGCGAGAAGAAAGTCGTCCAGATAAACCACTACTCGCATTCCTAACGACCGAAGAAAGCTGGCTACCCAATTTGACAGGCTGGCAAACACTTGAGGGGCTGTTGCTAGGCCAAAAGTTAGGCAGGTCATACATAAGGCCTCGTCTCTGTAAATTAGTGCCAAAAATCTTTGATGAGATTCCTTTATCGGAAGGTGGAAATATGCTTGGGAAAGATCTATCTTTTGTCAAAAAGTCGCCTTTTTGGAGGAAACTCTGTACCTTGTAATGACTGATCAATCTGAACTTTTTCGGGTCTAGAAATTCGTTGAATTTTTTCAAGTTTAGCACTGGCCTGAAGCCGCCGCCGGATTTAGGTACCAGAAACATAGTCGAGAGGAACCCTGAGCGCTGATTGGTTGTTTTCAGAACTTTCGACTCTATCATTCGTTTTTTTTTCCAAATCCATGTATAATGACCCACCTTCGTGGAAAAGCGGTGCATCTTTTGGTGATCTAACGAAATCAGGGGCGGCGGTTTTGAATGATGATGTTTATTAAACTTTGTGGGGCTCCTAGAACTTCCCACTGTTTTGTGTAAAGAAGAAGTTGACCTCCTTGGAAAACTTGATTGCTTGAGAGAGAAAGTATCTCAGGGGCGACGAAACCTGGTACCAGATGACTTTTTGTTGCCAGAATCTCGTTGACGGTCAAATTTATGGCTAGTCTTGGATTGGGGCCTCGGCTTTTTCTTGAACATTGGTTTCTCAAATCTAGCTTTTGAAGACATCTTGTTGGGTTCTTTGCGAGTTCTTCCTTCTTCTAGATGTTTGGATGAGAACGGATTTCTATGTCTGTAGGATGGAAAAGTCGATTTCGGTGGGTTTGATAAAAGGGTCTCTAATTTCTGTTCATCAAAGAGATGGGTCTCTGAGGGGGGTATTTCTCTCATCAGCTGAGCAGTAATGCTGTTATTTGGCTCGTATAACTTGCGCCTAGCCTCTATGATCTCCGCCCTTTTACCACAAACATATTGAAGCAGATTGTCTGAGATGTTTCGAAAATTTGCGTCAGGCAATGAAAAAGTTTCTTTCAAATCATTCGTAACTTCTGGGTGCTCCTTAATTATTTCCTGCATTTTTTCCACTAATGCCTTTCGCTGAAGTAATAATCCATGACACAGTATACCCATTGAATTATCTGTTTTGGCCAGTAACTCTACATATTGACTAGAAGTCCGAGAGTTAAGTTATAGGTTAACCTTAAGTTGAGAGAAGATACCACTTGCTTGTAACCTTTTTTGAGCCTCCACATAACGAATTTTATTCCAAGCAGAAGTCTTAAGGCATTGACAATTAATGGCATCTGTCTTCAAGGCTTCATCCAGCTCAGGTATTATCGGATCGAGCTGTTTTGTAGCTGGTTTGAAATGAAAAGTGATATCTTCGTTTTCCATTGATAAAGGAGGTGCTTGCCACACATGTTTCGTAGAAGTAGCAGTGCCTGACTCTATGTCCGATTCGCTATTGGCCATCGTCTCTCTTTCCTCATTCTCGTCTTGGTCATCTTCTGAAGGGGTTTCGCCAACGCGTCTTTGATCGATAAGTTCTTCTAGCAGATATTCAATTCTTTCTTGGCGCTCTTCCAAGGTATGTATTCTAGATTTCTTCGCACTTGAGGAGCTTGATCTCCGGTTTCTTTTTCCTGAGATGACCTCCTCTTGCTCATCAGAAGATTGCCTGCTCAATTGAACCGACGCCTCCATTCTTGAAAGGAATAGAAACTTTAAGGGTGCTCTAGCTTGGACTGGTTGTTACATGTTGTAAGACTGATAAATCTGGAAGACTAATTACGAAGCCACGAAAAAAAGGCCAATTAAGCATTTGAATCTTCATATCCCGATATGGTTTCTCCATCAAGCATGTTGCGTTAGGATTGAAACATTTTGCAATCCCTACCGTAGGCAAAGCAAACCGTAATTTGTTAAGAGTCTGCTGGTCTACTGAAAAATTTTCTTTTTCCTCCTCATCAATGACTTGCCATTCAGTCCATCCATTTGGCAAATACTCCTTGGCTAACTTCTTGAGCCTTGTTAGGATTTTATTCTCCTCTGTGACTCTCGAGTAGTTCTCCCAATGTAGCATGCAATGCTCTTTCAGCAAGGGCCATCTGCAACAAATAGAAGAGTCAGATTGACCGAAAATGCTAAATAACTTTTTGCAAGTTTAGCTTAATCGCTTTAAGGTTGAATATGATTTGCATAGTTCAACAGTGGAACTCAGAAGAGCTTGAAATATCTTGCAACTCCAAAAGCGTCACCTAGCAGCTACGACTGGATAGGCCTTTTTCTGCATGTTCCTTGACTACAAGATGAGCTTTGACGGCTGCAAATTGAGTCCAAAAATAAGCTCGCACGTGAAAACCAGAAAATGTGCCTCGAGAGTGAGCTTTATGGCTCAAAAGTGGGCTCTACGGCTCAAAAGTGGGCCTCTACGGCTCAAAAGTGGGCCTTTACGGCTCAAAAGTAGGCTCTACGGCTCAAAAGTGGGTTCTATGGCTCAAAAATGGGCTTCTGCGGCCCGAAAGTGGGCTATAACGCCCATAACGGCTCAAAAGTGGGCCATTACGGCTCAAAAGTGGGCCTCTACGACTCGAAAGTGGGCCTTTACGGCTCAAGGGTGGGCCTTTACGGCTCAAAAGTGAGCCTTTACTAGCTATAGATGAGCCATTGCGGCTCAAAAGTGAGCCTCCACTGCCCGTAAATGAGCCTTCTCGGCTCTTAACACGTTCGCGACGTCAAGCGCCACCGGTGGCACATGACGGCTGATCCCATCAACCGTCATGTACCACATGTGGTACACCATGCCCTGCAAATCTAATCCTATTTAAAAACGCGACGGCTGCATAGAAAGCTTAGAAAACAAGTTACGGCTGTACGTAAAGGTGGTACATGACCCGTGGTACATGCGGTTCTAAATCGGACATTTCTTACATTGATTTCTATGATTTTGGTCTACCCACTAAAATAACAGAATTTTAGTAATAGTTTTATTATTTTTTTTATTCAGGCAACACCCAGTATATAGTTTTACATTACTTAATTAAATTCTAACTGATAAAAACTTCTGATAACATGCCTTTTACATGGTGGTCACCGGTGGTACACCACGTCCCTGAGAAATAAATATTAGTCACAGCCGTCATATACCACCGGTGGTACATTTTGAAAAATAACAAAAAACTCAAAACAAGTATATAACACTTGATTGAACTACACTATATTCACATGTTGAACAAAAATAAAATAAAATACGGCTGTGCATTAAGACACCCGAAATCGGCTACGTCGCGAACGTGTTAAAGTGAGCCTTCACGGCTCTTAAAGTGAGCCTTCACGGCTCTTGAAGTGAACCTTCATGGCTCGAAACTCTTCAAAAATAATTATCATGGGCACAAAAAGCTACAGATTTAACCCTGAAATGACTAGTCTACTAGATGATTTTACAATAATTCCATGCTTTTGCTAATATCATTTACAAAATTTGCTTACCTTTTATGCAGTATTTCAAAAATACTAATGCTGCCAAACACCACAAAAATAAACAGAACAGTACTTACACACTGTTAACATGAAACACGTGGGCTGCGTAAAAAGTCGCGCAGAAACGGAACAAGCAGCAGCGATGGTACCGTAACGAAAAATAAAAGCGTACTAGTGTGAGTCGCCGCAGGCGGTGCTAGCCGGCGATAGAGTCAGCTGATTCCAGGGACGGGCGAAGGAACGAGAACGAATTCGCCTCAAATCAGAGTAGCAGCGCATGGAAGTCGAATGAAAGGTAGAAAGGTAATATGGGTCAAGCGAAAGCACAGACCCCAAATATGAAATTATTTTTATTGACAAAGTATGCCCAGTTTTTCACGTTTAGTGTAAAATATAGAACAATTTCGTTTTTATCAAATTAAATTGTGTATTTTATTTATTAATCTTTTTTTTTTTTTAAATTAAATAATATTTTCGTACAAAGATACAACAATAATAAAATAGAGATATGTAGTTCTGACTAATTTTCAACAAAATCCCTTTTCCTTATGCCATTTCATTAAAAACAAACTCCCTGAAATGTGGTTTCAAGCGCAAATTTTCCCATAATTTTATAATGCTAATACACTAAACAAACTCTAAAGTGCAATTTTTTTTTTATACTAGAAAATCAAGTGCCTTTGGTCCACATAATCTATAAATGCAAGTAAATAACTTATTCATCATTTTGTCAAAATATATGTTTGTCTCTTTTTGCATTTATAAAATTACAATATAACAATACAAATCACTTCTACAAACAACCAATTTTTTAAGCAAAAATACATAATTTATATTGACACATTCAATTGAAGTATTTCATCGGTCATGCCTCACATTTTTAGATCCTAATCTAAAGTAAAATTTACATTGTCTTATGTCTAGTACACGTTGAGAAATCCTCACGCTTTAATTCGTAAGATCTGAGTCTTTTTCTTACAGTTGGCACTGCTAGACTGTCGGATATGTTGTCGTCTTTGCCTCTATCGTTCCTAAAAATAAGAATAATAATTTGATATGAAATTGTTAATGTTGAAACGAAACCAATTAAATCTACTAGCAACCCAGTTGATAGATTTTGAATTATTTGAATAAACTTTTCAGATTATATTATGTCAATTCATCTAATGTAAGATGTTTATATAAACTACCTACAGTTTTTTAAGTAATCTCAATTCTAAAAGTGCAGGCTAAACTGTTAATTGGTTATGGTATTGTTGTTAAAAGTCTAAGCGATGTATATTCTGTCTCAATTAGCAAGGAACAAAATTGGTCTTTATTGAAGGAGACTTTAAGAAATACGACAACACTTTGAGAATCCGTGAAGATGAAGTTTTCAGCTACGCTATCCCCCAGGAGTTCCTTGCAAACATGGTGAGTAGCATGCCAAGAAGGGCAGCAGAAGGTAAGCATATGCCGGCTTCACTGTGGAGCTAAACATTATTAGAAAGTTTGTTATGTGTTTTTTATTCCATATATTAAATAGGAATTAGTAATTCAAAAAATAAATATAGCCGAAAAATCATAAATGAGCATTTGTGTGCTCATTTATTCATTAACCCCTTGATAACCCTAGTAAGTATTTAAGATTTTCTATTTGTTGGCTTGTTATGATGTCAAAACTGTATCCTTCCATAAGTTTCTTGGGTCATAGAAAATCTACATGAGAATTAGGCTCTCCGAATTTAAAATGCTAGTGGAAATCTGTCATATCGTTTTCGAATTATAGTATTATAAAGATTTATTTTCCACTTAACTATTATAGATCCATAATACCTAGGAAACGAAATACGTTAACATACCTATAACAACCTGAGGGCATTATAAGCCCAGTGTGCGTTATGATCTATAACGCCCGCTTATAATACCGTGAGGTGTTTTTGTTGTTGTTTTATTAATTTGCAGTTTACCAGGGGCCTTATTCTGTAAGGAACGAACCATTCGATTCGGTAGAATTTCTTCGATTGTGACGTCATTTTTGGTTTGGTTTTCGCGCTACCAAACCAAAAATGACGTCACAATCGAAGAAATCCTACCGAATCGAACGGTTCGATCCTTACAGAATAAGGCCCCTGGCCAGGATTCGAACCCGGTCTACCATCCACGTTTTCCATGTAGTCAAGCGCGTTAACCCACACGACCACCGTTGCCTTTGCCCTATGAGATGTTTATAGATATATTAATTTATTTCGTTTCTAGGTACAGGTACATGACAAGTCAAAATACAAAACAATATCCTGTCACATAAGTTTGTTTAACTGATTTTGTTTGATACTAAATTGATGAAAGAACATTGTGTTGAGTAGGGACTCCATAGCAGATCTGCTGCTCAGAGGAGAATTCACCGTTTGCCGTGACACGCTGGCTTCGACCAGACAAATATGATCTAAACCATTCCAAAGCTTCTCCACGGAACCCATAGACCTCCATCTTTCTGAGCAGCGTCCCGTGACTCACACAATCGAAAGCCTTGGAGAAGTCACAGAACGCTCCTGCGGTGGCAAAGCCATCGTTGTAATGTCTAAAGAGTTTTACCATGACATGAAACATAGCATCATGGGTGCCTTTCCTTGGTAGGAAGCCAAATTGAGCGGGATTTAATATGTTATGCTCAGATAAGAAGTCCCTTTATGCGCTTTTTTACGAGCTTTTCAATCACCTTTGATATGGTAGAGAGCAAAGATATTGGTCGGTAATTTGACGGATCTTTGGTATCACCGTTCTTGTGGATTGGGACTACCAATGCCTGTTTCAGAGTGGTTGGGAAGGAGCCAGAAGTGAAGGAGATGTTAATTGCAGATGCTAGAACATGTAAGGCCTGATTAGGAAGTTCTTTTAAAATCTTTATTGAAATGCCATCTGATCCTGCTGCGGTTTGGTTTTTCAAAGATTTAAAAGTAGATTTTATTTCTTGAACATCTGTAGGTGAAAATGTAAAAGATTCATTGACTCGCAAACTTTCAACATATCCAATCGGATCGACATTCGATTTTAGGGATGAAGTAAGTTCATTGGCAACATTGCAGTAAAAGTTGTTTAGTATATCGGGTTTGATATCGATTTCCTGTGGCTTTGTGCTACTTTTTCCTGTAACTTCTCTGACAATGCTCCATGTTTCCTTGGACTTATTTGTGGCCTTGGTTAGACGATTAGAATAAAAAGACTGCTTTGCCAGATGAATCAATTTTCTGTATTGTTTTTGGTATTGGGAATAATAATGTTGAATAAAAGGAGTATTAGGGTAGTGTTTTCTTATAACATTGAGACCTCAAGTTAGCTGCAGATATTTTCTACTCAACTATTATATTATAGATTTATAATACCTAGGAAACGAAATACGTTAACATACCTATAACAACCTGATCCATAACGCCCGCTTATAATACCCTGAGGTTTATTTGTTGTTGTAGTTTTATTAATTTGCACTTTACCCTAGGCAGCCACTAAATGTCTGACCGAAAATAATTTCCGGTCTAGCCAGGGGCTTTATTCTGTAAGGAACGAACCTTTCGATTCGGTAGAATTTCTTCGATTGTGACGTCATTTTCGGTTTGGTAGCGCGAAAACCAAACCGAAAATGACGTCACACAATCGAAGAAATTCTACCGAATCGAACGGTTCGTTCCTTACAGAATAAGGCCCCAGGATTCGAACCCGGTCTACCATCAAAGTTTCCCATTCCAGTCCAGCGCGTTAACCCACACGACCACCACCGTTGCCCTACCTGGCTTATGAGATATTTATAAGGTCCGTTTCACCAGGGTTCATACTTGACCTTGAAACTTGAAAAAAAAGGGTTGTCGTAGATTAATTCATATTCTTGCCGCTTCTCGAGCGTGATAGGACATTTCCTTGCGAGTGCGCATATCCGTAAAAAAAAAAAAAAAAATGACACATTCAATTTTTTTGACAAATTAAAATGATTTAAGAACCGACGAACGTTTTTGACGTCATTGATTTGTTTCAGTCAATTTTGATTTGTTAAACAAGGAAAGCAAATGCTGGTGGCAAGTACAAACCCTGGCGAAACAAACTTTAGATATATTGATTTATTTCGTTTCTAGGTACAGGTCACGGGTACAGGTACAGGTCACAGGTACAGGTACATGTCAAAATACAAAACAATATTCTGTCACACAAATTGTTTTGTGCACAAATTTAACTGATTTTGTTAATAATAAATTCATGAAAGAACATTGTGTTGAGTAGAAAATAAAGCATTGTGTGCACCACGGGGATTTTAAGATTATAATCCCCTTCAGACGAAATATATCACTCGGGCCAAAGGCCCTCGGGCTAGTTTTGCCTTTGGGCATTATAATCTACATAATCGCCTTGGTACATAAATAGCTATTTTTTTGCATCTGACTATTATTTCTAATTGATTGCACTTTACAGACTAAAATAACATGCATGTATTTGGATAAAACCGTTGTTGATTGCACTTTCGCGGATTTACAGGGAAAGTGCAATCAATGAACAGAACAAAGGACACCGCACATTTCTTATGGAAAAGTGATCTATGTGGAATTTTGCTGAATTTTTGATATTGTGTATAGGGAGTCGTCCTTAACAAAAGTGATCATTGCGCTAATGTTCAATACCCAACAGTTTTCAAGATTTTAATTAAAAACTTTTTAAATAATACTCTTCAGTATGACGTCACTCACAGCAACGAAAATTATTACTATCCTTTCCACTTTTGACTTTGACTCTTCTCCTTTTAACATTAGGAAAAAAAAAAAGATAGCGATAGCGATTAGTGACAAATAGGTAGGTATGCAAACAACACCTAGCTCTTGCCGCAATCGTCAACTTCATGTCATGATGTCTGTGATATAGCGATTTCATTTGTACCTGTTGTTGTTTTTTGTTTTATTTCCTAAATGTTAAGAGGAGAAGAGTATAAGTATAGGTAGTCAAAGTTAAAAGTGAAAAGGATAGTTTTAATTTTCGGTGCTGTGAGCATACTGGTGACGTCATACTGAAGAGTATCAAATTAAAAAAGTTTTTAATTGTTATCTTAAAAACTGATGGGTATTGAACATTAGCGCAATGATCATTTTTGTTAAGGACGACTCCCTATACACAATATCAAAAATTCAGCAAAATTCCACATAGATCACTTTTCCATAAGAAATGTGCCTTTATGGTCCTTTAAAAAAAATTCTCTGTCATAATTCAAAGACCATCAATGTTACAGCCTTCTGCGAGTTTTAATTAAATATTTCCACGCCATAACATCGAAACTATACAAAAAAGTGACTGCACTTGCCCCACTTTACCTCACCGCAAAAAGGATGGAAGTAACTGAAATGGACTTTTGGAAGAGAGCGGCAGGCAGGTTAAAAATGGAAAGGACCACAAATCTAAGAATTAGGGACATTATGGACGAAAAACACACAACAGTAGATGATATAAAGGACAAACAACAAATAACTGATTTGGTTCGGACATGTACAAAGAATGGCAGATACAAGAATACCCAATCAAATTATTAAGTTGAAGCCAGAGAGAAGGCTAAGAAGAAGCTCGAGAAGTGGAGTAGACGAATAAAGGAGAGACAGAGGCTCGTAGGAGGATGCCTGGATTGACAGAGATGGTTGGAGATCGGGAATCGGAAGACGTAGAACGTTATAAACCGATAATTATATTATTCATAACTTCCTCCAGTGGCGTAGCCAGAGGGGGGCCCAGGGGGCCCGGGCTCCTCTCGAAATCTAAATCTAAAAACCAAAAACTGAGAAAGCAACCAGATTGAGATTTAATATTTATTAAGTTCACATAGGTAGGTCATAAAGTGAAATTACCTACTAACTACTTTTAATTCGAATTAAATATTCCTAAGATGTACCTACGCAGGAACGCACATAATTAGGAAATTTATGCAAAGCTGTCAACACCTAAAACAAAGGCGCCCCATTGCAGTGCCCATTGCGGAATGTCAAGGTCGAGCACAACAACTTCGAAGGTCACAATTGCCACTGAAGTC